AATATATATATATATATTATTATATATATATATATATATATATATATTATTATATCTTAAAAATAAAAAATAAATAAATTCAAAATAAAATATATAATTTAATATCAAAAATTATATATTATTTTTTTAAAAATAGATTATTGATATTTTAAAATAATTATTTTTTTAAATTATATTTTTATATCATTATTTTATATATATCAATTTACATAATTTAAAGGGAATAGATTTAAATTATTTTTCTCCTTATTGTTTGAAAATCGATTTGATTTAAAAGAAGTAAGGAAATTCATCTTAATACGATATATAAAATAGTGCAGAAGGACTTCTGGAATATTTTAAATCGCCAAATATTAGATATAAAGTAAAAAAAATAAATATAATAGTTATTTTTACAAATTTCTAAAAGATAACAAATCCATTGTTTTTGGCAATAAGATTTAGTAAGGCAACAATCCTTTAGTTAAGTGAAGACTATTTTTCATAAAAAATGAAAGTAAAATATATAAATATAAAAGCATTTAAAAATAAAAATTATTAAAATTAAAATTAAATATATGATAAGAAATCTTATAGTTAATATATGAAAAAATATATAATAATATAAATAAATTAATTAATTTTTTTTTTATAATTTTATACATAATAATTATATATTAATTTTTTTTTAAGTTAAAGGACCTTATAAAAGCATTTTTTAAAATATTATAGAAAAAAGATAGTTTTTTATTGTAAAAGCCTATAAAATTAATTGTTTAATTAGATTAGAATTAGTTATAAAAAAACGAAAAAGTATTATTATATTAAATTTTGTTACTATATAAATAATTAATAATTTTTTATGAAATATATCTTTTATATTTTAAATTTATATTTATTTATTTTTTTAATAGTTATTAAAAGCTTTTAATGCATTTTCTTAAGCTAATTGTGAATTTTCATTTTAAAGTAAACCAATCTAATAAAAAGGATATTTCTTTTTTAATTTTAATGAAGTAATAAATATAAAAATTATTTATAATAATATCTTATTTTAATTTAAATTAAATTTAAATTAGGATAAAATTATTGAGGAATATTCAAAGGCATATAATTAATAATATTCTAATATGAATGATGATTTAAATAGATTTAAGAAAGCTAGAAATATTGAAGTAATCTATTTGAATTAGTCTGTAGTAAGAACTTAAATTACAGTTGATGTAAATAAGCATTTGATGATTTCAAAGTAAACTAATGTGCAATTAGTTTTAGAAAAAGTTGAAGTTAATAATAATAATAAAAAATAAAATAAATTAAAAAATGCTTGTGATAAAAAATAATAAGAAAATATTTATTTAGAATCATATGATTATGATATATTAAGAAAACAAAAAAAATTGAAAAAATGATTAATAACAAATAAAAACATTAAAAAAATTATTGATGAAGAAAACTCATAAAGTTAAAAAGAATAATACATGTAAAATTTAGATAATGCATAAATAAAATAATAATAAATATAAAATAATTGTTTTAATACAAATTATTCTTACTAATATAATATTTAAAATTAATAACAATTTATTAATCATTTATAGGTGTATAACCCGCTTTAATTTTTAAATTATAGAAATCAGTTTCAGCTATATTATAATAGTTAATAAAATTAATTAAACCAAAATAAAGATTTACTATGATTTATTATTTGAAAAATACTAAAAATAAAAAATGAGATTTACATTTTATTAATAATTTCTATATAGATATTATTTAAATTTTAATTTAAACTATAAAAATTATAAGAAATAATGTTATTATATTTACATTGTTGAAATAACAATAAATTTATTTTATTTTATACATTTATAATTTATTTTTAATATGTATTCAAAATTTAAATATATTTTTTTAAAAAATAACCGTAATATATATATATATATATATTATTTTATTTTTATATTCTTTTTATAAAATTTAATTTTATAATATATTATTTTTGTTTTTATGCTTATTTTAATTTTTTTTCTCAATTCAAATAATTATTTAATAGTTTATAATAACGTATAAATATAACTAGTTCGAATAATTTATACTTTTTCTAAAATATAATTAATTAAATTAAATTATATTTAAATTAAATTTAAATTTTATTATTATTTTATGCTATTAATAATATTATGTAATTTTAATAAAAAAAGTAAATTTTATTCAATAAATAAAAACTTTAATATTATTATTAATTTTTTTGTTTTATTTTTGTTTTATAATAAATGATTATTCATATTAATAATATGTTTATTTATTTATTAAAATATATTTAAATATTAATAATAGAATTATTATATGAAATTTATTAAAGATAAATAAATTTTATTTTAATTATAAACTTATATATTATTATTATAATAATATTTATTAATTAAAAATTTATTTTAATTTTTATTATTTCTTAATTTATTTAAAATTTATATTTATTTTTTAATAAAATTATTAAATAATTGAAATCAATATATTTAATTTTTAAAAATTATTTATATTTTTTTTTAAATATAAAAATATTTGATTTTTATTTTTAATAAATATAAAAATATTTTCACTTATAAACTTTTATTTTAATTTCTAATATTTTTTATATTTTTATTTTTTATGAATTCAATTATATATTAATTGATTATTTAATTTTTCAATTACACCTTTTTTAAATTAATTATCATACAAAAACTGACCCCATTAACAATTATTTAATGATTTTTTGTATTCATTTATAATAACTTTAAATAAATCTTTTAAATATTAAGGCGCTTAATTATAATTTATAAAAGAATCAACTAATAATCCCATGCTTTTAACTATTCCATCCGAATTCTTAAATACCATTTTAAAGAAACCTCTATTTATAATTTTTTTTAATTTAAATACAAGTACATATTTATACTATTTACTCATAAGCTTTTTCTTTTTCTTTACAATTATTAATTTATTTCATACAAATGCAAAACTTTTATGAAAACTGTTCTAAATGTTTACTAACATTTTCAATATCTAAAAGAGCAATAGAACAAAGAGAAATACAAAAATTTTTAGCTGCAAATTTATTTATCTTTTTTTTTAAAAAAAATAAAATAAAATAAATTAATTCATATTTATTTATTTTTTAAAAACAAAAAAAATATACCTTATTAAATTAAGTAAATAATTATATTATTTTTAAACATATTTCATATGCAAATTACTTCATAATTTCTTCATAACTTTAACAAAGTAAATTCAAACAATAAATAACACTATTACATGTTTAAAGTAATAAATTTTCATTCTCAAGATTATCAGATATTATATCCAAATTTTTAATTAGAACTTTTGTATATTCTAGTACATTTTGTTAAATAAATTAAGGGCAACTTTTTGCTATTTCAGCAATAAAATTAAAAACTGAACTTTTAATTTCTAAATCAGAACACTTTATTCATAGTATTTTATTTTATTTTTTTAAAAAAAACATCATTAAATATATAAAATATACTTTTATTGAAACATCTATTATTTCTAATATATTTGAATTTTAGCTTAATTATAAAAAATAGTTTTATGAAACATGTACTATACTGCACATAAGATCTATAGAAATTAGAAATATTTATTTTTATGAATCGGTTTTTTTGCCTAATCCATTTATTACAAATTAATAATTTTACATCATATAATAACATTTAGGATATATTTGATCGCAATATTTTAAAAAATTATTATCTGCAATTTACGCAATACTAGAAATACATTCTGTTTATTTTATAAATGAAACATATATATATATATATATATATATATATATATATATATATATATATATATATATATATTTATATATACATCCTAAAAATCTAATTTTTATATCAGTTGAATTAAATTAATTCCATTTATTGATAATTGGAGGAATCAAAATAGCCAAAATTTACGGCTTTTTAATTTCTTCTTCCATACTTTCACTTAAATTACTAATTGTATTCAAAATCATATTTAAATTTTCATTACTATAAACTTACAAAGCAACTACTATTACCTATTTTTTAATTTGTTTAAAAAAAAAAAAATTAAAAAAAAAAAAAAAAAAACTTAAATAAAATCTTATAAATAAGGAGTTAAAATCATTGCACCTTAATCAACAAAAATCTTTAAAGAACGACAAGCAGATTCTTATAAGTAAGTATTTTATGAACTAATTCCAACGACAACAATTTATAAATATTTTTTAATAATTTCATTATGGTTTACACAATTATTCACCAGCCAACTAGTATATTAAGAAATAGTTTATAAAATAGAACTTTAAAGTAAATAATGACATACTTTATTATTAAATAAATCAATTAATATAGGAATTATATTAATTAAATGTTCCTAAACTGAATTTCGACTTCCTTCTGCTATTTAAGCTAAACAAAAAATACCTATTTCTCTATTTTTGTTTGTTTGAATAAATATATATAAATTTATGTTTTATATAAAAAATACTGTATTTTCCAATCACTATTATTAAAACATTCATTTATTAAAGATTAGTATATTCCATATACATCATCTCTATAATATTTAGAAATAAAATTAATTGCTTTTTCGCACATTTTTCTTAATGTATATTCACAATTTTGTAATAATTAATCATCATCGTAATTATTTCTATTCATTTCTTAATTTGTTTACTATTATTAATCATCATCAATTATATATTCGTCATTAAATTCAATAATTTATTCATGGCTAAAAATTATTTAATTATCAATATTTTCAGTTCCTGGAATTATATTAATTAAATCATCATTTGTATATTAAAGTCCTTTCAATAAAGCAGGTAATAACCTTTTTTAAAATAAAATAAATAGAAAATAAAAATATGATATAATCTACATATTTAAATATTAAGATAATCGTCTCATTTTAATATCCAAATCGCAATCTTATTTCGAAAAGAACTCTTCCCAAAAAAGACACGCATTTAATTACACTTCATAATCAGGATCTTGAATCCCTTTAATAATAGATTAAATAACATCATCTACTTTTAAAAAAATAAGAGCTTTTTACACTTCATTGAGTAAACAAATTCCTTAAAAGCTTCTTTTTCTAACATTGGGACTTTAAGAAAGTGTAGATTTAAGCAATATTTCTAAATAATTATTTATTTATTCTCCTAAATAAAAAGGAATAGTATAAATGAATTGATTTAAAGTATTTATAGATGCACTTTGTATATTAGTGTTTTATGATTAGCAATAGCTAAATAATTTTGGAATCAAAACATTTTATTAAAAGAAACTATTTTAATTATTACTATTACAAGTAGATTATAAAAAATTAAATTATCTTGATTTATTCTAAGATCTTCTACGATTTTTTAAATACAGCTTATTGTGTTTTCTATTATTATTTCATCTTATGTAATATCCAAGCTTTATATTAAAAAATCAAATAATTAAGGCCAATTTTATAAACCTCCTTTGTAAACTATTACAGCCATTATATTACCTATAGCTTTTCTTATTAAAGAATTATTATTTGTGTATGTTTAACATAATTATTCTTTTATTTATATTATTTCTTTTTCTTATAATTATTCGAAGTTTCTTTCAAGTAATGATTTCAATGTTATTGCTACATATTTTTAAAATTATATATGTATTTTTATTTAAAAATATTATTTTTACCCGCCATATATTTAGTATCTAAATGTATTTCTTATGTTTCTTATTCAGATAAAATATATGTTAAATATATGTAAAAATTAAACTAATTAGAGTACTCTTGTATTTAACTAAAAACTTCTTTTTATTGCTAATTGTCGGGGACTCTAGCTTTCTAAAGTAAAAATATTATTTAGTTTAAAATATTTTTTTATATCTAAATCATTTTTTGAATATGTTTTTTTTTATAAATATATATATTTTGCTAATGTATTATTTTGTTAATGTTTATATAAAATAATTTCAATTTTAAATTTATTTATTATTATTATAATATTCATATCTAATTATCTAGTTTATAATTTTTATAAAATAAATTACAATTTATAAAAAATAAGCAATTAATTATTAATATAAAAGCAATTTTAAAATTTAAAAATATTTTAATTATATTTTTATTTTTTTTAAAAATATAAAATAAAAAAATTATTTTACAAAGTATATAAGAATTAATTAATTCCATATTAATAAATAATAAACTATTTATTAAATAAATATTTATATAAAATGTTAATTTTATATATAAATATTTCTATAAAAATGAATAATAACAATATTTAATGCATTAATTTCTACATAAATAAAATTAATTAATTTATTAATAATTTAAATAAAGATATAATAAATAATTAATTTGTTTAAAAAGTTTTTTAATATATTTTATTTAATTAAAGTAAAAATTTTTATCATTTTCTTCATTGGTTTTTTGAACTATAAAGTTGATTTTCTTCAAGATTTCATCCTGGAAATATGCTTAAAGGAATGTTTCCAATATCAGGGCAATAATTTTCTATATACTTTAGGCATTAATTATTATAATTGTTTTACTTTGTAGATTTTTTGTTTCAGAATTATAAATCTGGTATTAAATTCTAAGATATTACTGTTCGAAACTATATATAATAAAGATAAATGCATTATTCCAAAAAATATTTATAATTTTTAATATTATAAACATAGTAAAATTTATAAATTCACATAAAATTTATTAAAATTATATTTAGAATTAATATATTTATGTATAAGTAATAATTTAAAATAAAAGTTAATAAATTAAGAAAAAAATATTTTTTAGATATATATATTAAAAAGATTACAAATATTAGAATAAAGTATAAAAAATATATATATAAAATATTATAAATAATAAAATATGATAAAAAAATATATATTTATATAGTTAAAATAAATAAAGTATAAAAATAATAAAAAAATAATAAATATTTAATAAATAAATATATATATATATATATATTATATATATATATATTTCATATTTATTTTATTTATGTATCTTTTTAATTAATTTTTCTAAATTTTTTAAATATTTTATTTTAGATACTTTATAATTTTATTTAAATACTTTTTAATTTTATTTTAAAATTTTCTATTATTTTTACTTGTACTGATTTTTTAATAAGCAAAGTATAATTTTCTTTTTAAATATATTAATTAAATTTTTAAATATATTTAAAATTGTTTATTATGTAAATAATATCAATTTTTTTATTTGAATACTGTTTAATGCTTTTATGATTTGTATGAACTAAGAGATATATATAATTTTTATTACATATATATAGCATTATTAAATTAATTTATAGAGAATAAAAATATAATAGATAATTTATTTATAAATAAAAACATTGATTTTTATGAATATTGAATGCTATTAAAGTTATAATATTTTCACTTCTTGTGAAGTATAGTTCTCTTAGAACTTTATCCTGACAAGTTGTCTGTAAAGAATTTAGTAATCTTATATAACATAAATAATGTTCTCAAAGTTGAAATAATATATTCCTTGTCATAAGGAATGTACGAAAAAGTTGTTCTAGAAATGGAGTTATTAATTAATAAATTATAAGAAAATAAGTTTTTTTATAATATTAAAGTTTTAAACTTTTTTATTTATATTTTATGGTTTGCAAGTATTTATTAAAAAGATAATTTGAATAAACTGACGGGTAGATAATATTTAAAGTTTTCAGATATACTTTCGATAAAAATTTATTATTTCAAAGTTCTTTAGACTAAATTCATCCTCAATAGAATAGACGGTAACCATAAATAAAATATATAAAATTAGAGAAAATACTTATAAAAACAAATAATATTATAATAATTAATTATATATAGTTGATATATCTGGAACACCATTAAAACATAATTCAATAAGATATTAAAAATATGTAATTCCGATTAAATATTAAATACAATAATATTGAAATAATCCATAAACTATTTTTATGACTAAAAATCATCAAAATATAAATAAAATTAACTTGAATTAAATTTAAAGCCTAAAACTTAAGCAATTATATTTTAATCATTTGATATATTATTGTTTTTATTTTAATTTCTTTATATAAAATTAGATTAGAAAGTGATTATTCTATATAAATAAACCTTAATTATTATTAGCATTAAAAGCTATTCTATAATGTATAAAATATACTTTTAATTTAATACTTAATATATTAACATAAAATATTAAATAAATACACTTATATATTTTTATTTTAATAGTATAAATGCTGGATTTAGATTATAAATTATTAATATGCCTTTAATATTTAATAAATATCTATTGCATAGATATTATTTACATAAAGCCAATTGGAAATAACGAATAATCATATATAATAGAAATAAAGAAGTACATATAGATTATACATTAAAAATATGTTTGTCTTTAATAAATATATATAATTATAGCGTTTACTACATAAGAAAACGATATAAAAAGAAAAATAATGATAAATCTTCAGCTATTAATCAAATTATATTCTTTGATGATTTTTCAATATTGATAAATTATTTAATTTATAAATATATATGATTTTAGTTAAATATTATTTAACTCATAAAAAAAATTTAACTAGTTATGATATTTATTTGAAAATGCTTAATTGTAAAAATAAATATTAATAAAAATAAAATAAAATATAAAATATATATATATATTAATAAACAAAATATAATATTTTAAATGAAATAAAAAAAAATTATTGTCTATTATTTAAATAAACATTAAAAATCATTTTATAAATTATATTAAATTTATTCAATTTTTATATAAAATGTATTTTATATTTAAATATATAAATTATAATTATTTTTAAATTAATTAATATTTTATTTAAAAAAAATAAAATAATGTTATTTTATATTTAATTTTATAATTAATTATAAGTTAATATAATAAATATATTTATATATATATATTATTTAATTAATATTTAATTTCTTTTTTAATTAAATTAATTTTTAAAAACCTATTAATTATAATAATTATTAATAAAATTAAAAAAATTATGAGATACTTATTTCCTTAGACATCTTTAAAATCTTCTATTTCTGAAATGGATACATTTTATTAAAATGATCTTTAAAATAAAAAAATACAAATTTCAGCATAATAAAAAGGAGTGCGCAAATACATATTAGCTACTTAATTTAAAATAGATAATCAAAAAAAAAATAGTGATAATTTAAAATAGGAAGAATAGTAATAAATAAAATAATAATAATAGTAATAATAATAATAATAATAATAATAATAATAATATATTATAATAATAATAATAATAAAGTGATTCTTATATTGGCTAAGATTAAAATTCTGAATATGAAACATATTTTACATAATTATAAAAAAAAAATATCTTTATATAATAAAATAATCCTTTAAACAATTAATTCTATAGGGAATTTAATATTGGTCCCAGATTCGATAAAGACGGAAAATTAATTAATCACACTTTAATAGGTAATCCTTAATGGTATTTTAAATAAAAGAATTTATTCTAAAAAAAGAATAATAAATAAAAATAATTAAAATAAAATGACTTATAAAATTAAACGATTGATTTTGATAAAAATAAAGGAACTTAAAAATTAATATTTAGTATTAGAAAGGTATAAATATTTTTTTCATAATATTTTTATTTATTTTAAAGGATTAATAATCGTTTTCAAGTTTATTTAAAATGGACGATAAATAATCTTTAAATATTAAGAAAAAATTAGGAAAAAAAAATGAACAAGTTTAAGGTATTTTTTTTATTTTCAAATTATTAAAAAAAAATACACAAAAAATAAAGTAACAAAAGATTAATTATTACATGAAATGGAATAAATTGAAAACCGTTAAAAATAAGATAAATAAATAAAAGAATAAATAATAAACAATTTAAAATTAGAAGAAAAAAATATGTATACAAGAGATGAAAGAGTTTTAAATTAATTCGAAAAATAATAAAAAGATTGGGATTAAGAACTTTAAAAAATAGCTTAAAAAGTAAATAGAAGTCCTGAAAACGTATGTATGATTTCAGGAAGAAATTATAGAAAAAAAGTAGAATATGCTCAAGCATTCGATTCATTAAAATCTGAAGAGAATAATTTCGGAAAAAGGTTGTTAAAATAATAATAATAATAAAAAAAATTAAAAAAAGGGTCTGGTATATGTATTTAAGAAAATATCCTAAAAAAGTAGTAAATAATAACTATTATAAATTTGATTATTAAAAAAATGATTAATAATAAATATTTGAATAAAATACAGATAAAAACTAATAATATAAAAAAATTAAGTAATTATTTAATACAAACGAAACTAATTAATCTGACATATTTAGTAATTTTATGACTATAGCAATAAATAATAATAATAAATAAATCGAAACTATAATTAAACCTTAAGATCCTAATCATAATTATTAATATTTTTCTACTTAATCTAATTTTTAGGAATTAAAAAAAAATTCACCATAATATTATATAGAAAACTTAATAAGGGAAAGTAAAAATAAATTAAAAGATAAAATGATTGTACTAGACGAGAATGCTGATAATTTAATTGTAATTATTATCATTAAATATAAATTATAATAAAATATATATTTATATATATAAAAATATTTATTATATATTTATTTATTTATATATTTATATATTTATATATTTTTATTTTTATATATTTATTTATATACAAATATTATATTTAATACTTAGGTTAATGGCAAAAGTAAATTTTAATCAGAAATAAGTATTTTAAATAAAGTTTAATAAAGATAAGGTTTTTTTAATAAAACTATTTTTAATGAGAATATAGAAAATGATAATAATTAAGAGTATTGTAGTGCTAATTTTGCTAATACTTAAAATAATTTACTTTAAAGCATATCCTAAATAAAAAGTGTCTAAACAAATTAATAAATTAATTGTATATTATATTTTTTTTTTTATGTTATTTTTTTTATATATCAATTAAAAAAATAGATGATGATACAAAAACAAATAAAGGTAATTATTTTATTACTTAAAGTGTTTAAAAACAAGAAAAAATAATTTAAAATTATGATATCTAAAAACTATCAAGAACAGGATATCTTTATTTTCCTAAAATTGTTGAAGATTTATAATCAAACAATATATATTAGTAAAGAAAAACTATATGTTTTAATTAGGACTGAAATAAATGCTTTTTTTAATCCTTTATCATAAATTTACAATTTTTTTGTTTTATTTATTATATAATTTTAAAACTAATATAAAATTAATATTAATATAATAATTTTTTTCATATACAACATTTTTTTTTTTTTTCTAATTTACTTTAATTTATATATGAGAAATTATTTACCGAAGTCAATTTATTTGTAGGTTATTTTTGTTTTTAATTTGTATTTTCTTATTAATCATTAATACCTTTTTATACGACATTTATCACATCTTTTTCTTCAATTTATTTTATAATATCTTCAAAAATACACTTATTTATGAAAAGTATAATTTTTTTAAAAAAAAAATATTAATAAAAAAAAAAAAATAACAAAAAAAACTATTTTTTAAAATTTTAAAACTAAAAAAAAAAAATACTTAAATATTTTTATTCTCTTTTGCGCTAACATATTAAAATTTAGCACTAATATTCTAAATAAATATAAAATAAAAATACAATATTTATATTTTTTTTTTGTTATAAATAAAAAAATAGTTAATAAAATAACAAAGAAAAAACTTTGGCATATAATTTAGCATTATCAAAAGAAACTTATTCTTATTCAATTAAATCTGTTTTATTTCCAACTAAAACAATATCTAATTTATTTATTGAATAAAAGTTTACAAAAAAAAATAAAAAAAAAAAAAAAATTATTAAAAAAAATAAAAAAAAAAATACTTATATTTTCTGAAGCATAATCTTTTAAATCTTTTATCCATTATTATAATGTTTAAAACGAATTTTTATTAGTTATATCATATACAACTATAGCTGCTTCTGAATCTCTATAATATAAGGGTCCTAATGTTCTATATTTCTCTTAACCAGCAGTGTCCCATATCTAAATTTTCATATTCAAATCAATTTATTTAATTTTTAATTTAAACCTATAATTTAAATATTTTATTTCCTTTCTTAAAATCTTTTTAAACAAACGATGCTCCTTATGTAATTTGCTATCTTTATTCAAATTTATCTAAAACAAATCTATTTACAATACTTGTTTTTCCAACACCTTTATAATTTTATATTTTTTTATATTAATATAAAATATATATATATACTAATATATATATTTATATTTTATTTATAATTTATTTTTTAAATGAATTATTAACCTGAATCACCTAGGACTACAACTTTCAATAGTTTAATATGTTACATTTTAAAATAAAAAGAAAAATTATAAAGTTTTAAAATATATAAAAATATTTTATTTCTTTAACAATAAATATATATGTATATATTATATTTTAATTTAATTTTTAAAAAAAAAATAATATAAATATTTATAGTTGAATAATATTATTACAGCTATAAATAATAAGTTAAAAAATATTTTCAATCTTTTTTTTTTTTTTTTTTATTGCTTTTATGTATTTTCTTTTCCTTTTTTAAATTTCCTATTTCTAAAACAATTTTTTAATTTTAATAACTAAGATTTGAAACCTATTCAAGTAAATTTTATTTTTCACAGCTTAAATTATATACTTATTAAGCAAGTACACTATGAATTGATTTTTTTTCTTATTCTAATCTTTATATTTCTTATTATAATTCTTAAATCAATTCATGTGTATTATAATTACTATTAATTTTTTCAGAAAATTTATTAATACTGTTATTTTCACTTCTTTTATTTAAACATTTTAAATTTTCTTGTCTTTCATGATATTCATTTTCAATTTAAATTTTTTAACTTTACAATTTTAACGTTTAGTAAGCTTATTTATATTTTTCTTTTTTATTAAATAATTTTTCGGTATTAGAAATATGTTATTTTATTTATTAATCATAGTGATTTTACAATTAAATAATTTTTTCTTATTGTAAATTTTCTTTTTGACTAATTTAATTATTTAAATAACTAATTTCTTAATTAAACCTAAAAATATTAATAGAAAAAAAAAAAAAAAATATTACTTTTAGTTTTATGTATATTATTATAAATTTTATTCTGTAATTTATCCTTTCAATTTAATTATTTATTCTGTCATTTCTTTTTATTTTTAAATAAGATTTTCTTTTTCTTCTAATATTTTATTTAGTTCTAATTAATTTATATTTTATTCGCTTTTTCTTTAATTATCTATTATCTAGTTTTTTAATAATTCATTTTAATTTTAAAGTCTCATTATATCCTCATAATTATTATTTTATTAACAACTATCTTAATTTATATATTTTTATAACTCTTTGTTTAGTAATTGTATTTTTAATCTTAAATCTTTTTCAATTATATCTTTTTGTTATAATAATTCCTTTTATTATGCGATTTATATTTAAAGACTTTATATATTTATTTCCTCAGAATCTTTTGTACTTTAATTAATTCCTTTTTTAATACTTACTCTCGGGCTACTTAATTCTAAAGCATTTGTTAAAATTTTAATTTCTTATTAAAACTCTTTATTTTCTTGTTCTAATTTATTTATATATTGCTTTTTTATTTTTTAATATTTTAAATAATTAAAATATTTTTATTACTTATTAATTATTTGTTTATTTTAAATTAGTATTTGAAACCGTTGAAATATTTAAATTATTTCTACTTGAATTTATGTTATTATCTGTAAGTAAAGGAGATTTAGCTGTAAATTATTTCAAGGCTTACTCTAATTTATTAATATATTATTTTTATTATTTATTTTCATTTTCTAATTTAATCTTTTCGCCATTTAAATATTCTATTTTTACTAAATTATTTTTATTTGTATTCTAAATTTATTTTATTTATTTTTTATAACTATTTATAGTCTCTAAATTATTATCAATTTTATTTTAAGAATATTAACGTAAATGTGAATAATCTATTATTACCTTATTTAAGTCTTAAACTTTTTTCTTTTCTAAACTAAGTTGAGTTTTTATAGAACTTATTGCCGAACTAGGCTAATTAAGTCTTCTTGAAGAAATAAATGATTTTGAGCTTTTACTATTTAAAGAATCACACATTTCTACTAGACTACTACTATTTTATCTTAATTTTAATTTTTACATTTTTTATTTGAATTTAATTATATATATATTATAAAGTAATAAATTAAAAAAAATTTATTTTAATAATTATTTATTTTATATAAAAATAATAATATTTTTATAAATATAAAAAAAATGATTTATATAAAAAAAAAATATAAATATTAATAAAATTCATTATATTAATTTAAAAAATTCAAAATTTTATTATTTTTAAAAATAACATATTTTCTATATATATATACAATCTCATTATTTATTTCATTATACAAATTTATAAAAAACTAAAAAGAAAAAAAAAACAAAAGAAATAATTATTGATTCAAACTAAAATTATCTTAAATATATATATATATATATATTTTTCAACAACTACAACTCTTAAAAGTATTATTATCATCATTTTTATCATCTTTTTTTAAATTATATGCTAATCTAGGTTATAATTCCGAATTATCAATAAGTCCTAATATTTTATTTATATAAAAACAAAAAAAATCAATTTTTTTTTTTTTAAACAATTAAAACAAAACCTTTTTCTATCATATCATAAATATTTCTAGCAGCTTCAATAAAACTTTGTTCAATATTCTCACTTGTAATAGCCGAAGTTTCGAAAAATCCGACATTCATACTAGCACAGAATCTTTCTCCTTCCAAATATTAAACTTATCTTTCATCTTTCAAATCACATTTATTGCCACAAACTACTATACTAATATTATTTCTAGCAAGATCTCTTGTATCTTAAATCCATTATTTAACTGCATGAAATGATTCTGCATTTGTAATATCATAAACTATTATTGCTCCTAATGCACCTCTATAATATGTTCTTGCTACTGATTTAAATCGCTCTTAACCAGCAGTGTCCCAAATTTAAAGTTTTATATTTTTATTATTTATTTATATTATTTTTGAACTAAATTCTACTCCTATTGTATACGAAGAATTCTTTTTGACTTATTTTTTTTATTTTATTTGAAATTGTTTTATTTTTATTTTTATACATTTTCCTTCCAAAAAATTATGCAAAATACAGGTTTTACCACAACATGTATTTCCAATTATAATAAATTTATATAATGCTTCATATTATGTATCTTTATTCATTATTTTAAAATTTAAAAATTTTATTAATATTAATTTTAAAAAATGAGTTTTTATAAAAATTAAGAATAGGATATTGTATTAATTATTTTAAAAATAAAATAAAAATAAAAATAAAAATTAAATAAAAATATAAAAAAAAATATTTATATATATATGTATAAAATATATATATATATATATTATATATATTAATATATATACATATTTTATATATTTAATAAAAAATTTTATTATTTTTTATATTTTTAATAATCTTAATGAAAAAAATAAATTTTATATTACATATTTAAATAAAGTTTTATTTCTTAAATATATTTAATATATAAAAATTCTATTGTATATTTAATTATTATTTTTTATAACATTAAAATAAAAAATAGATAAATCATATAATGTTAGTTAAAATTATAATTGTATTTCTATATTTCTATATTAAATAAAATATCAGAAAATAAAATATATTTTTGACACGATATATTATTTTTCACATAAAAATCTAAAAATAAAAAACTAAAATAAAAGAAAAAAATAAATATATAATTTTCCTTATATAATTAAAAATATATATTTAATAATCTAAAAAATATTTATTAAAAAAAAAAAATATTTAATATAATAATTAATAATTTTAATATAAAAACAAAAATACTTTTAATAAAAAATGAAAAAAACTCTTCTTATATTACTTGCCATATCTTTAATTCACGCTTAATCTATTGAAATTAAACCTGAAATTAAAGAAAAATAAAAAACTGAACATCAAACTGTGCAATACGATATATATACTGGGCAGTCATTAAAAATATCTACCCCTGGTGGTTTTGAATCTTTCCATTTAACCTTAAACTCAGACGTCAGTGACATAAACCATCCTTTATGTAAAGTCGTAGAACGATAAATAAAATTCGAAAATGTAACTTATTTGAATATTTATGAAGGATAATTCGATAGTCACGGTTTATTAATGAATGAAATTCCTATAACAAGTAAAAAATATTTATCAATATTTTTTATAAAATGTAAAAAAAAAAAGTTGGATGGACAAGTATTAAACCTAATATTAAAAATACAAACAAAGGAATTGCCTCTTTAGATGATAGTTTAGATCTATACATATTTATGATTGATGATATACTAGATAAAGATTACTATGGCTCCTAATTATTAGGACGTATAAGTATGAAAGAGTTATATCCTGATTATAAAATGGTTAGCATTATAAAATATATATATAAATATTTAATTATAAATATATATATATATATAGTTAGAAGATGAAGTTTTCCTAGTTGAAGCCAGAGGAATAATATTTATGTTTTTCTAAAGCAAGCTAATAATGTACGACACCATAAAAAAAACTAAAAACTTAGTTCCTGGTTATAAAGGTGATAAAGAATTAAAAAAAGTCCTCGTTTATTACTTCGGTTAAGTCACAATGTTTTACATTGCACATGGTTTGGGTGGTTTTTCAGCTTACAAAATGAACCACGCTCCCGGTTTGGAAAATATAAGTCTAGAATTATTATTCGATTCTGACGTAAATAATGATAAAAAAATGAACATAGTCGACATAAACATGTATGAGTACAAAATGACACTAAATAAATAAGAAATATCTATGATGTCTATATATGTTTTAGACTATAATTCAGGATTACATTTATATGATTAAAATTTCGCAGACGACATTATTGAACCTAAAGATATTTAAAAAAAAACCTCTGTTTTCATCCCCTATGAACAAGGTATACTTTTCGGAATGTGCAAAGATGAAACTTTCCTTATTGTTGGTTCTGAATTTGGAAACAACGTTGCTACAGAAATCGAGTTTGATGAATAAGCTAATGAGTATTTCATAAATAGAAAGCACGAAGTCGAAAATGAAATCTAAGATATACTTGTGGCTGAAAATTACGCTATTTTATTAGGATCAAATACTCATACTATTATATGGCATTCCGTAAATTCTAAGATTATTTAAGATATGAGTCCTTTATATTCACAATTTTCCCTATATGGGTATAATGGGGGAGTTTTCTTCGAAGGACCTTATGATGAAAGACTAGGTAAGTCAGTCGATTTCTTCGCTGGGTTATAAAGAAGGCATCTTTTTGTAGTTAAAATAATCGAATAGGACCCTTATTTTGAATGTGATGCTAGTGATTAATAAATATAAGACTTAGTTGGAAATCACAACTTACTTTTTGACGTAAAATATAACTGTCCGACAATTGAAGAACCTAATTCTAACTCTTACTGTAGCCATACTTAAAATTAATTCTTAGTGTGAAAAAAGTATATGCTGATAGTGATAATGTAGGTGTTATTGTTGGTATTTTTTTCGGAGTTTTGGGTACTATTGCAATATTTGGAACTGTATTATTTTGTATGTATAAGAATAAAATAGCTTTAAAAAGTAGTCTTTAGATTGAAATTAATAATTTATTGAACAAAAAAAAAGCTGAAAATAATCAATATTAATAATTAGATAAAGAATAGAATTATTAATAATAATAAGGAGTTTTTGAAAGTGATAAAATAAAAATGAATAGGTTTGGAGGATAAAACGCTAGTACTTATCCAGAAATTGAGAGATAAAGTTTCCCTGATTTCTAATAACCGGAAGATAAAAGAAACAGTAATCTTAAATTAGTTGGTAAAATTGAAAATTAGGGGGTTAATAAAGATTTTTAAATTGATATTGAAAAAGATAATTAGTATTAAAATAATGATTAAGTAATTAATTTTAATAATAATGATGATTGATTGATTCTTTATAATTTTTTTTTTATTAAAAAATTAAATATTATAAGATATAATATATTTATATTTTATTTTAAGTATTTTATGATATATTTTTTTATAAATTATATATATATATATATAAGTTTCTATTGTATAATTTATAATAATTTGTATAAATTTTAATAGAAAAAATATAATTTTTATTATACAAATAAATAAATATAATAAATTATATTAAATCTCTTTTTCTTTAAGTTTAAAAATATAATAAAATAAAAAGAATGTTAGTAAATATTAATATTTAATAAGAATTTATTTATTAAATATTAATAGAATATAAAATTATATATAATTTAATAATATATATAAAATAAAATATATTATATATATATTATTAATTTTAATATTATAATTAATATTATTATAAATAAAGCAATATTAATGAAAGTTAATTATATAAATAATTTAATTTTCTAAATAAGCATTTTTACATAAATGAATTATTTCTTTTAAAATAGATATATTATTTATTCTAAAATAAAAATAACATATAAAATATAATTATTTATATCTATATATAATTATTTGATTAATATATAAATATTTATTATATTTTTATTATCTAATATATATATATTTAGTTATTATAATGGTAAACTATTTGAATTATTTAATAAATTATAATAAAAAATAAAAAAATATAAAATAAAAAATAAAAAAAATATAACAAAATTATATATATAATATTGTTGCATTTTTTAATCATATAAAAAAAAACTTAAAAATTATTAAAACAAAAAATACAATTAATAAAAGTAATTATTTTAACAAAAAACAATAATAATAATATAAATATAGAAATTCAAAAAAATGAGAATCAACATTCTTAAAAATCGTGTTTTTTATATTTATTTATTTTTAAAAAAAATATAAATATTCTTTAAATAAAATATAAATAAAGGAAATCTAATGGAACATCCACCAAAAGCAACAAATACCATATTATAATTACCAAAATTTGCAGACTTAATTTCAAAATCTAAAATAGCTCTGGTAACAATATGATATACCCCAAAATCACCGTTAAATTTTCTCCCATACGTGCAAATAATTAAATCCCTAATTAGCATAATAATTTATTGAAAATGAAATTTAAGATTTAAAAAAAGAATAATCTTTAATCCAAAACTGTATCTATTAAATAAAACAGCGAGAAACGTATTTAAAATAACTAGAATAATATATATAACAATAAGATTTAGAAAAAGTAATATTAAATATTATATATAAATATAAAAATAAAAATAGTGTTCGTAATATATAACTTAATTAAGAATCTCTTCAATAAATGTACTTGAATGTATATAAATTTGGAGATAAAATTTCATACAAATACTCTAAAATCCATCTCTAATAATCTCTTTTATTTATGAAAATAAAAATTATATACTTAAAATGAAATAAGATTCAAGTTTTGTTTATAATTCAACTTTTCTTTAATAAAATTTTGATTTTTAAAATAGTTATGATCCTTTTTTTATTTCCTTGACATAACAAAATACATAAATGACCTTCCATTTCATATCTAAACATTTATAAAAAAGGATATAATTGCTTTTACCAATAATTGCTAATGAAAAAGAATAAATAGTGCCTCATTTGGCTAACCATTATGTTAAAAAAGGCTCTTTTTAATCTAGAAGAATATGTATTTCACCTAAAATATAATAATAAAAATTTTATAAATTAAATTCTTCAAAAAAAACTATTACTCCAGCTTAAAGTACTCAAAACTTAAATTAAGAATAATTAAATAATAAGTAAAATGATTATTCTGGTATTTAATTTTAAAATGAAGATGAAAACTCAAAGAAAAATATTAATTAAGAAGAATAAAGTATAAGTAATTTGAAAAACTAAAAATAAATATAAAAATCTGAATTAAAATCATAAAGAGCATCGATAAAAGAATTAAAACATTAGAAGATATAAGAAAATCTTTAAAACAAAAAACATGAAAATTCAGTAGAAAAAAAAGAAGAAAAAACACAAGGATAAAAAGAAGTAAAAACAGAAGAAAAAATGGAATAAAAAACAAAAGAGATAAACGAGAAAAATGACAGAGAAAAAATAGGAGAAAAAATAGAAAAATAAATAAGAGAAAAAACAAAAATGGAAGAAAAAACAGAAGAAAAAACAGAAGAAAAAATAGAAGAAAAAACAGAAGAAAAAATGGAAGAAAAAACAGAAGAAAAGATAGAAGAAAAGATAGAAGAAAAAACAGAAGAAAAAACAGAAGAAAAAATAGAAGAAAATATGTAAATATAACAAGAAAAAAAAGTAGAGCAAAAATATTTAATAGAAGGTACAAAGACAGAAACTGAATTATTAAACTATTTAAAAGAATACATATAACAATTTGAAGATCAAGAATAAAAAAAACTATAGAATTTGAATATGAAAAACTGTAAAATTTAATAAAAAATACATAATAAATAGGCTATCTAGAATACGTAAAATAAAATCAATAAATAATTGGTCTAATAATAATAAATAAAGAAAGTATTATACATAATAGAATAGGGATAGTACATATAAGTGCTAAATAAAGGGAAGATCTTTCCGAAATGATATAAAAAATATTATATTATATATTCTAAAATGATGATTGTGAAGAAATAAGACTTTCTTTGAAACATTAAGATAATTATATTAATAAAAATATCCAAAATATATTCACTTCTTAAGGTTTTAAATGGAAATCAGTCACTAATAATGAATTTAATTAAAAACTAACAATATTTGGGTGTAAGAGGCCTCAAAATTTTCTCAAGAAATAAAAATTATAAAAAGATCATATTGTTATCTAAAGTTTATCATTAATAAAAATCCATAATAAAAAATAAAATTAAGACGAAGAAAAAACTAAATTTATTAAAAATAGATGAATATTTAGATAATAAAGACTAAAATATATTAAAAAACGAGGAAAATATATTAAAAAAGATGAAAATTAAGAAAAAAAGATGAAAATATATAATTAGAATAAGAAACTAATTAAGTTTTTAGTATTCCAGTCAATATATATTCTAATATAAATGTATATAAGAAACAAAAATAATAAAATAATACAAAAAATTACTGGTAATCAAATGAAACCAAAATTTTATAAGTAAAAACCAAAGAAGAATTTTAAGATTTCTTTCAAAAAAACGATTTTTAAAAAACTCTTTAAAAAAAAAAGAATTTAAAAATTTCCCAATTTAAATTTGTATATCTAAAGTTGTTTTTAATTGGATAAATTATAATTTCTTCGAAAATAATTTCTAGGTCTATACTAGACTTTATAATTAACAAAATAATGATAATTCTTCACTTTTTTAAGCTGAATCTTCCACAGGAAGCCCCGTTTTTATTATTCCTACTGATGATTCTTCCACAAATGCTTTTATATTTGAAATTTAAGACGATTAAATATCTTTTTACTAATAAAACTTACTCGAAAAAGCCAAATAAGTAATGAAATCTATAAAAAAATAAAAAAAAATAACCCAAGATTTAATATTTCCTTCTTTTTAATTCGAAATGGAAACATAAAAAAAACAATAAGAAATAAAAATATACGAAAAACTATATTGTTCAATAAATTATGAGAATTTCTTACCTTAAATAAAAATAGATTTAAATGAAAAAATATTTATTAAATATCCGTTTATATTTGGTATTATAAATGCCGAAATTGATGAAATATATGAAATTCCTTCTTATTGCATGATTATCTAGAAAAATAATTGTATTTTTAAATGAAATATATATATATATATATATATATATATTATAGATTATATATAGATTTTTTCATTATATTTACTATTTTTTAAGATAAAATAAAAAGTATATAAATGTTATAATAAAATATATTTAAATATATTAAATATATTTTTATAATAAAAAATTACCATATTTTTTTTTCAATTACTTTTTAATAACTCTTGATAAATGAATTAATTATTCAAAAAATTTAAAATAATTTCATATATTTTACTAAAATTTCTTATAATTATTATTTATTTGTATAAGTTTTTAACTAAATCTTCCATATTTAATTTCATTGATTTTGTTAATTTCTAATACACCAAATCAATTTTTAATATAGTTATTTCATATATGAAGTTATATATTTAGTTATTAAACTTGCCAGTCTATGAATTTAACAAGTTATTAAACTTGCCAATAGAGTTTTTCCTGGGGATCAAATATCTATATTATTATTTTGTGATATATTTATTAGCTATTTAAAAAACAATAAATAAATAATTTAAACTTTAAAAAAAAAAAATGAACATTAATTATAATAAAATATAAAAAATATTAATAAAAAAAAAAGAAAATAAATAAATTCAAATTATATATATATAAAAATTATATATAAACATATGCAATCTTAAAATAATATTTTATATTATTTAATATAATAATTTGATGAAGAAACAATCTAAAAACCTTTCATAAATATTTAATTTTTACATCATTAATTATAATTTTCTTAACAAATAACCACTTTTACTTAGTAATATACTTTATCTAACTTAGACTTATGTTCTGATCTTCAATAAATAATAATGTAATTATTAGAATAAATGACTGTTTTCTTCCTTCCAGAATCTCCAGCAATTTAATACGTTGACCGAGAATGGAACCAGTTTATAATAAAAGTTCAACAATATATAAATTGTGAAAAGTTATATTGCTTATTGACCTGGAGTGAGTAAAAAGAAGACGAAAAATAGCAATAAGATTACTTATTAGACCGTATATTCAGCTGCTTTATTCGTTTTTCGAAATTTATCATATGTTTTTAACAAAGTTTAATTCCAAACGAAATATAAATAAATAAAAATAAAGTATCTATAAATCAAATAAGTTAAAAAATACACGCGAAACATGATAAAGTAGAAGAATTAATACAAAATATGAACTAATTAATTTTAAAAATAATTTTTACTTATAAATAAAAATGTATAATATTTTACGAACAAATATCATTTTTGAAAAAAATAAATGCTTTTTTAAATGTTTTTTTTTAAAAAAACATTGAAGAAATTCAAGAATTCATAAAAAAATTCGGAAAAAACGAAGAAAAAATTGCTTTTTAAATCCTTTAAAATTCACCTTTAAAACAAAAAACTAAAAAATAAAAATTAACAATTATTACTAATAATTTATAAAAAAAAAAAAATGATTTTTTCCTTTTTCTTGAAGATTAAAAAAACCTCCAAATAAACACTAGTTAAAACTAATATTATTCTCCTCAAAAAAATAAACAAAAAAACTCAAAAAAAGATGAAATCTCGCCTGAAATTCTTTCACATATAATAAATGCAGATAAGACTTTAATATAAATAAATGACGATGATATATAAGATGAATAAAATAAATAAAAAAAAGACTTATTAAATTAGATAATACAGGAAATACAAGTAAAGCTGTATAAGAATGTATAAACTTTACTAACTTAAATTCCAAAGAAGAAAATAAATAACTATAAAATTTAATTATTAATTAAAAAAATGTTTAATAATAAAATACATTAGAAGCAATTAATTAAATATAAGAAATAAATGATTAAAATATACAAAAAATATAATAAAATATTCTTGTTTCTCCAAAAAAAAAAACTAGATAAATAAACATTACATAACTCTAAAAAGAGCCAAGAGACGAAGATATATTTTGTAAAAAAAAATAAAACAAAAAAAAATAAAAATAAAAAAAATATCAAATAAAGATTATTCATGTGAAAGTTCAGAAAGTGAAGAAAATTAAGATGGAAGCGAAAGTTTTTCTGAAAGTGAAAATAGTATTTCAAGTGAACAAAGTTAAAAAAGCACATAATTATAAGTAAAAGAGCCATTTACAACTTTTAATCGTTAAATAGAAAAAAGTTTTTTTCAATTTTTAAATGAATAAGGTTATACAAATTAAATTGAAGATTCTTTTTTAAAAAAATAAGAAAAAAAACTAAAAAATATATTTTTTGATTATTAAGTAAAATACTTTAAATAAAATTCACTTTTACCATTTTACAATGGAGATATATAATAAATTATTAGAGATAATTTTATTAATAGATAGAAAATGTAAGTATATTTCAATAATTCTTTGTTTTAATAACCACCATGTATTAAAAAAAAGAAAAAAAATGCAACATGTTTTGTATGTATTAATTATTGAGAAAATAAAAATACATTTTTTAAATTTGTTACTTAAATAAAGAATATATGATATTTTTAAGAAATATATATTTTTTATATTATATAAATAAATTAATAAAATTAAACAATCTTTACTTGTATTTTTTAGTAAATTAATAAAAAAATATTAAAAAAAAATTTGGATATTATTTATATTATATTTATATAAAAAAATAATATATAATAAATATAAAAAAAAAATATAAATATATATTATATATTTATTTATATATATATATTTATATAATTATATAATTATTTAATTATATATAATTTTATATTTAAAACTTATTTATTATATTATATTATATTATATTTATTCAATATATATTATATATGCACTTAACTATTTATAATATAATAGATTTAAAATTTAAAAAAAAAAATTTTAAAAACATAAATAAAATTTAAATTTATATTATTATTATATTTTTTTATTTTTATTTATCATTTTTTGTTTTTTTATTGTACTTACTAAGCAAATTCTTTTAATTTTCCTAAATTGTTACCTAAGAAATCTATATATATATAAAATAATATAACAATTATTTATATAAAAAATAATTAATATTTATTACTAGATTTGTTTTGTCCATCAATATACATAAAAATATGAGGTATAGAAGTAACTTGATGTGCTTCAATAACATCTGACATTTCATCAGTGTCAATATCAATTTTCACTATAGTAACTCCAGGATATTCATTTTAAATTTACTCGAAATTTTATGCAAGTGCCTTGCATGGTCCACACCATTAAGCATAAAAATCTAAAATGAAATTTTAGTTTTAGGAAATGAATTCTTACCATTCATCATTATTATTAATTTATTTAACCATATTTTTTTTTTATTTTCTTTATTTTTTATATTTTTTATTTTTATAATAATTATTTATTAAATTTTATTTTATTTACATATAATTTAATTTATATTAATAGAACCAGTATATTATACAAGATAAAATATAATCATTTTTTTACTTTTTTATTTTTATATAATAAATATTGTTTTGATAATCTTACATATACTATGTATCTTTTTAATTTTATAATATGTGTTTATTTTTATATTAATTAGTATTATAAATAATTACAAAAATAAAATATAAAGTATATTCTTGTTTCTTTTTATATAATGTATGTATATAAAAAATAAAAACACATCATATTATTAAATAAATATAAAAAATATAATTAATATATCGAAAATAAATAATAATTAAATTTTGATAAATTATATTAAGTTACATATATATATCTTAATATTTATAAAAGATTTTAATAATTTTAAATTTACATTTTATTTATATAAAAATTAATGAAAATTTCATATTTATTATAAATATATTTATCTTTTATAAGTAATAAAATTAAATTTAATTAATTTATATATATTTTTTTATTTATATTAATAATTTTTTTATATATTTTTATATTTCGTAAACGTATTTTAATAACTTTAATATCTTATTTTATTTTTATTTTCAAAAAGCAAAAACAAATAAGTATGTTTAATTAAATTAAATATAAGTAATTTACTTAAACTTTAAATTTATAATCAAAAAACTTTTATTCATATTATACACTTCTTAAAAACCGCAAATTATTAAACTTATTTGGGAAAGACTCATAAAAGTTTCCAAAAAAAAAAAATACATAAATTTTAAATATAAATAATAATATAGTGTAATATAAGGAATATAAACAAATGACATGAAAATATTTAATAAATTATAAGATTAAGTGTCTATTTATTGTCAATTTTTAAATCCTTAAGGAAGAGTATTAGCAGATACAATAACAATAAGACCTTATTAGTAAAAAACAATAATAAAAAAAAGCTAAAAAATAAATAAATAATAGAATAATAGAAGGATAAATAAAAAATAAAATAAACGAATTTTGGCTTGATTTAGATGAAAGTTAATGTAATAATTTTATATTTCATGTAAAAAAGTACTGTTTGAGAAAGTAAATTTAAATATAAGACATAACTTCTTAATATAATTATTATGCGATATTTGTACTTTTAAATTTTTATTATATGTAATTTTCAATTTTCAATTAAATCCATGATTTTTTTATAATAATTTAATATTTTAGGGTCATAAAATTAATAATAATAATGAAAATGAAGGAAAATATATTTAAATTAAAGAAATTTCTGTTTAAGAAAATTAAAATAATATATTTTTTGTTGATCCAAGAAAAGCTGATATGGGATTCAGAGTTATAACAAACTAAAAATGTAACTTTTTTTTTTAATATATATATTTAAGAAGAAAAAAATAAATAATGATAGTAAATTTATAATAGAATTTTGAAGAATGTTTGTTTGATGAATATGAAGCTTTTCGCTATATTTAAGGAGTTCCTTAAGTATATTTTATTAAAAATAATTTTTAATCTTTATAAATAAATCAAACAAACAAATAAAGGGATAAGAAATTATTAATAAATTACCTTTTTTGGTAAATTTAGATTTTATGAATGGTGTTAGTTTTAATAAAGGTTTAATAAAAAAATTAAAATACAAAATTAATAATTTTATTTCTTTAAAAAGGATGTTATGTAGGATAAGAATTAACTGCAAGAACTTATCATACGGGAGTATTATTTTTATATTAAATATTTTTAATTATTAAAATAAGCTTATAAGATCAAGAATAATTCCTTTTATTATTTAGAAAGATTAAAATAATAAATAAATAGATGAAAATTGTAAAATAACAATATATATTGTCCTATTTAATAATTTCTGTATATAAAATATAGATATTTTTTAAAAAGAAGATTATAATAAAGATTTCTAAGAAAATTTATAAACATAAAATTTATTCAATAGTGAAAATAAAGAAATAGGAAAGGTTTTACGTAAATATAAATATTTTAAAAAATATATATATATATATATATATATATATTATTTTTATTTTTATATATATAATATAATTAAATATTAAAGATAATAAAGGAAATCTCGGATATGCTTAAGTCAAATATTTAGAAAAGCGTAAAAATATTATTATAATTTTTTATATACTTATATTTTTTTTTATATTATAAAAGCTATTAACTAAACTATTAAAATTGGAAATCATACAGGATAATTAATTATTTCTTAATGGTTTAATAAAAAAGTCGAATAATATTTATAAATAGTAAAAGAAAAAGAAAAAACAGCATCATTATTTATTTGATTAAAAATATTAGAATAATTATCAAATTTAAAAAATTCATTAAAATAATTCAATTATTTATATATTAAAAGAATATAACATTATATCTATATTTTTAATTAAAAAAATAAAAATTAATTTTTTCACATTTTTTTTCTAATTATAAATATTAATAGTTAAATTATTTTTATAATACAAAACAAAAAAACAAAAATCGAAAACTAAAATAAAATAAGTTTAAATAATTTTTAAAATAAATGAGTAACAGATTAAAAGAAAATATGTATTATCCTTGATATATATATAAAAATATAAAAAAACAAAAAATAATCAAAATAATAAAATAAAAGCATAAATACAATATAAAATATTTAAAATACATAATCAATCATCTTCATTTGAAATATTTAAAAAATAATAATAATATTTTTGAAAATAAAACTTTTAATAAAATTTAAAAACTGTATAAAATATAAATTTATAAAATTGAAAGAAATACTTACAGAAAACAATAATGAAAATCAAATTAAAGTATAATTAAAAATAAATATTCCCCGACAAAATAAAATTAAATATTTAAATAAAAAACTAAAAAAAAAAACTAATAATAATAAAATAATGAATTAACAAAAACCTTATTATTAGTTAATATATAATAAACTAGAATAAGATAAAAAATACAAGAATAATATAAAATACAGGCAATTATTTTATATATAAGTAAAAAAACATTAAAATATAAAAAAATATTATGAAACAAAAAACTATATATGAATAAAAATTAAAAGAAGAAATATCATTATAAAAACAATAAAAAATAAATAAATAAAAGAAAATTTAACAAATAAAAGAATAACAAATCAATTTAACAATAAGAATATACTAAAAATAAATAATAAACAAATAGAAAAAAAATCTTGAACAAAATATAAAACATAATAAATAAAACACTAAAATATATAGACATAAATCATTATTTAGAAAATTATAGTATTATTGATTTTATAAAAAGTTAATAAGAATATGTAAAAAGTAGATATAATAATATAAAAAAAATAATAAAAATATAATATTTAAAAATCTAAAAAAAAAGAAAATTAAATTAAAAATAAATAAAAAAATTATAAATAAAGTATTAAGGAAAACAAAAAATATTTTATGTATTAAAATATTCATAAATAATCAGTTTTTGGATCATATTTTTTAATTATAATTTGTTCATCTAATTCATCTTTATTTAATTAAATATATAATATTAATTTATTAAAGAAAAAAATATATATATGATATATATACTTTCTTTTTAATTTCTATCATATTTGAAAACCACATCTTTTGCATTTTATAAACATTGTACTTCTTTTTCTAATTAATTTTATCCAATTGTCTTTAAATTATATAATATATAGAAATATTTATATTTAAATTTAATTTATATATTTACAATTAAATTATTAAAATCTTTATCTTCTTCTAAATATTTATATCCTTTTATTTATTTTATTTTTTTATGTAGATATTCATTTGATGAAAAGGAAGTAAACGGGTCATTTTATTTATTATATTTTTGAGATAAGCTTTAATTATTATTAATATTGGTATTTTATAAAATAGTATTTTAAAAAATTATGGTTTTCGAATTATTTCAAAGTTTTATTTTATTTTAGATTAAGTAAGTGCACTATTAAAAGCTTAAGGTAAATCTTATATAACAATAAGTGGTCTATCATTATATTATACTTATTCTTACTAAAAATTTTAGTATTTTTTTTTGTTTTTTCATAATTTCTAAGACTCATATGCCATAATTAAGTACCAAAAATATCAAAAGCTTATTTTGCAGTATCTAATATATCTGATATTTCAATTTTCTTTTTAAAATTATATAAATAATTTTTATATGATTTGTAAATATTTAATCTAAATTTTTATATAAATTTAAAAAAATAAAATTTACATTAAAAATAATATAAAATTAAAAAAAAAATACAATATTCGAAAATTTAATTAGAATATTAAAATAAAGAGTATATATATATATATATATATATATATATATATAATATATTATTATAATATATATATATTATTTACTT